GCCAGTCTTCCTCAGCAAAAAGAGGAGGATTGGCAGTAGTTAGGTCAGGGCTAATCTTCCTGGAAAAAAAAAAAGGAAAGTATTTTGTTATAAAGTATGTATTTGAATATGTAAATACTTGGGCAGAACTGTACTAGAAGATACAATGAAGTCATGCTTACACCATACACAGAATTACTGTGAGTACAATGCTACACGTGCAGACAGATAAAAGTGTGTTGTATTAGCAACTCAGATTCTGCTGAGTAGGCTGTTATCATTGGTAAGTTTTCTGAAATGAACAATTTTTGGTAACATTCTGAACAAAGTACAGTATTTGGAATCCTGGAAAACAAATTATGAAAACTTTAAAAATTTTTGATTATGTGTAAAGTGGAGTTAGGTTCTAAGCTAGATTTTTTCTATGTTGTTTAAATCAACCCATACATTGCAGGACATCTAGCATCCCTGCTTGCTTCCCCTCCATGACTGTGAGGAACAAAAAAATCCCCCAGACATTTCCAAAACGCCCCCTAGAGGATGGTGTTGCCACCATTGAGAACAAGTGTCCTTAAACAGTGCCTGACACAGCTGCTGAGGGGCAATGAATGCAGTGTCTCTTCTGCCGGAAGTCCCAGTTGACTATGGGGTGTGAGCTCTCTCCTATTCTGGAGCTAAGAAAGGCCCTGGGTTGTCTCCTGTGAAATCAGTCTGAAAACTTTTAGAGCCGGGCAGGCTGCCCCATCACATCTTTCTAAATGCTCTTTTCAGTAAGTAACCATGGTCTGGCAAACTAGTGCTGAAATGAGGCGTCTGGGCTTTTTAAAGGCAATATTTTGAAGGAGTTCCTATGGAAAGCAGTATTATTCCAACTCTAGTTCACAATGGATGGTCTGTGGAATAGCGCCCCAAGAAAATAACTCAATTATAATCACAGCTCAGTTAAATTTTTGTTAAAAATTATACCATTTCACATGTAGACTTGTAACCTACCTTGTACCCAAAATGACTTACTTATAAGGGTACATAAACAGGATATTAAAAACAAAAAACAAAAACAGTGGGAATGAAAGTAAAACAAAAATTGGGCTTAGGGGCCGTCCTGGTGGCGCAGCGGTTAAGTGCGCACGTTCCACTTCTTGGTGGCCCGGGGTTTGCTGGTTTGGATCCCGGGTGTTGACATGCCACCGCTTGGCAAAAGCCATGCTGTGGCAGGCGTCCCACGCATAAAGTAAAGGAAGATGGGCATGGATGTCAGCTCAGGGCCAGGCTTCCTCAGCAAAAAGAGGAGGATTGGTGGCAGGTGTTAGCTCAGGGCTAATCTTCCTCCAAAAAAAAAAAAAAAAAATTGGGCTTAAAATAGAGCTGGAAATGAAGTATACACTTTAACCTATATTCTTACACCATACACAAAGTTAGTTTCCAGAGCCCAACAACGTGGTGGTATGCGATCCAAAACATCTTAAATTTGCCTTGGGGGGGGGTGGGCGTAAAAGGTCGTGTAAACTCTGGAACAAGAGAAAATATTACTTTCCAGCCAAAGCAAGTTACTGCTAATTCTTTTTAGTGCATTTGTATTGCCTTTTAATATGAAAGTAATAAGCATTTGGTTAAGTAAGAAACTCAAACTGTACCAAAACATTCATCACCTCCCTGCCCTCCCCAACCTCATGAGGCAATCCCTTCTCTGTTTTATGCCCTTCCAGAACATTTCCATGTGCGTACTGGCATTTTTTTTAGCCCAGGGTACCTTGAACATAATTGGCGCTCATTCTTTTTGAGAACTGAAACAAAGTTAATTTTGAGAGGTGTGGAAACCCCCATCTTGAAAGTGTACATAAAGACCACGCCTCTTGTTCTTAAGCGCAGCCGAAATGGGAGTGGAAGTGCCGCGAGGTTGGCGGAGACCCCCGCTCTGAAGGGGGCCCACGCGGCACGGGAACCGGGGTCCGAATTAAGCCTCCCGCCTGGCCTGGCGGTCTTCCCGCCCCGCGACCCGGCCGGCCCCGCCCTCTACCGGAAACGGCTGAGCCGAGGGACAGAGCCGGCGCCAATAGTGCTTCCGGTCACGGGGTCAGCGTGTGGGGGAGAGGTCAAGGTGACCCCGGAAGTGGAACCTCACGCCTTCCGGAAGCGGCTCTCGGGGGCGGAGGCGGCGAGCTGAGCCGTGGCGGGTGTCGTGAGGGCGCCGCGGAAGCCGGGCGTTTTAGACCAACCGGGGAGGCCGTGGGAGCGTCGGGCAAAGTAGGGCTTTGGCCACCGGAAGGCACGTAGCCTCCCGCCCTCTGGTGTAGGCGCGCATCTTCCGTTTGTTTTCGTCCCCAGGGGCTGCCTGCTCTTGGGCTAGCTATCGAAGGGGAATGTTTATTTGAAGTGAAAACTGAAATCCGATTTAGCACATTTTGACAATGAGGACTGATTTTACAAATCATGTGGCAGACAATTTCCCATAAATCGAGTTATAGCTGCAGCACCGAGATTCGGATGAAAATATATTTAAAGCACATATACATTTGGCTAGAAATTATACCCTTAGCAGTGCAAACTTAAGAGAAAATTTAGCTGTCAACCTAATGTGCTAGGCGATATCATTTTCCTCACAATTATTTTAAGAGATATGTGAACAAAAAGTGAAGGCCACCGAGTTAGCGGGGCATCTGATAAAACTGTTCCCTGTATTTGAGGGAACCGCATTAACCCTGTGTACTCATTGTGGGCCTCTGTGCCCCCAGGACAGGCTAGTCACTGCTTGGCAGTCTCATGAAGTTTCCTACGCACTGACTGTGTTTTGTATCTCAGCAGAGGTTCACTCTGAACTGAAATAGAAAACCAAAACGTATCCTTTGCCTTTGATCCCATAAAACAAGCCAAGCGATCTAGTAAGTCAGTGGCCTTCATTTATTTGGGATGTGAACACCTGGCTTTTCACCAGTTACCCAACTTCCTTCGGCAGTATTACCACCTGCAGAGCAATCAAAGCACAGGCCCAGCTATTAGCTGTAGATACTGGTGAGTGAGCAAGCTGGACGAAGGGATCAGTAGCTGCCCTTCCCAGGACAGCATATGGGATGGCACATTATCTGGGGGTCTCTTCCATTTAGAATGGCTGTACTAACTAGTGACTTTCATTTAGTGTGTCCATCTGCACCTCCGTACAGGATTGGGATGAGGACTATCTTATCCAACCCTTCTGTTTCTGGATAGTTATGCTACCACAGGGTGGCAACAATGAATTCCTGGAGAAGAACCTGGCCTTTCAGGGACTAGTGATCTCCTAAACCCCACCCTTTCAGGCCTAACAATTTTGCTGTCAGCCCCACCTCAAATGAGTCAGTAAGTCCTGTCCCTCATGTCTCCTGAATCCTATTCCTTTTCAGTTGTCATTCCCATTTTCTTGGTCCTGCCTCCAGCCTCCCACTGTAGCCCAGTCTCTCAACCACAGCCTGGTTAGAGCAAGCCTTCTCTCCAGGCCCATCTCCCACACACCTCCCCCCTATTTACCTAACCTTTCCAAACTGGTTTCCTAAATGCACGTTTTGCTCTTCCCTCTTCTTGGACCCACTTTCCCTCTGACTGAATCACACCAAGGAGGTTGACTTCTTGTCTGCTTCTGTAATAGTTCACGTTACCTAAGTTACTAAGAGTCAAACAAAAAGGTTTAGTAAATGCTTTCCATTCAATCCGCACAATCCTCAAGTAGGTACCTGCACCTAAATTTTAAAAATGAGAAAATTGGACTAAACCTAAGTCATACAGCTTGTTAGGTTTGGATCTAAATTTCAAACCCCATCTGAATCTTAAGACACTATATTTATACATTTCTATACCTTCAGTGTCTAGTCAAAATCAAACATTAAATGGAGTTTCTGAATTCTTTATCAACTACTGACCACCTGAAGCCTCAGCTTCCATATTAGAAGCCCTCCCAAAAGACATCAAGGGAAAACCCATCATTTTTACCTTTCTCCCTCAGCACCATTATGCAAGAGACAAATCAATGACCCAGTTATTAGTCTGTCCAACTGAGTAAAGCCTTCCTGACACCTTTTAACTCTCCAATATCCAAATCAATTAAGTTTTCCTGCCTTTTCTCCCTTATGTTTGATAGTCCCATATATCCTCCTCAAAGGTTGTCATGAGATTTGTCCCATAGAAAGTCATGGTCCCCAGCCCATGGTCATCCCATAGAGCACTAGGGAAACAACCCTTCACCAAACTTAGTTTGTAGTAGACTACACCATCTAGGTTTGTGCAAGTACATCCTATGATGTTCACACAATGATGCAATAAATCACTTAATGCATTTCTCAGAACACGTCCCTATGAAACGACATGTGACTATAATAAGAGTTTTAGTGCCACTGTAACTATTTTTTTGGTCAGGATACCACACCAGACTGCAAGTGTTATTTTGGGTCAGAAAATTTTCAAAATTTTGGGAACTATAAAAATTATAGCAAATTTTAATTTACCCTGAGATCTATGAGGGTCCTATCTGCATGCAAGCATCAGTCACCATCACGGTTTTGCAGGAGATACAAACCCCAGAAAACATGATGCCTTCAGGATTACCAAATTTCTCTACTGGATACATTTCAGACTAGAAGAAAAACTGTTAGCATTTCATGACGTATTTCTATCAACATTAAGACTCCTATGCACAGGCACCCATAAATCCTGACAAGTGCTCTCTAGAATCCAAACCACTTTGATATAAAAGCCCTGCTGTGTTTAAAATTCAGATTGCTGGACCCAAGATTTTGGTTGTAACTTACAATGGCTTGGTCCAAGATGCGGGAGCCAGGTGGAAAAACCTTAGATTCAGGAATTAAGTCCTGAACTGCCTCAATCCTATCACTCTGTCCTCTCTTTAAAATGTGACCCATCAAAATCTTGTAAAGACCATGCTGCATCAAAACTGAGACCTCCCCTTTTGAGCCTCCTGGAAAAGTTAAGGGCACATTCTCCCACTAATTGTAAATTCACAGTATACAATGCAAACAGGCCCTTCAACTATAAGATACACGTGTCATCAACAGGTATCATTCTTACTTTATAAATGAAAAGGTTCAAGTTAGGTAACCTGCAAAGACCTCTAAGCATTGGTGCTATCTCTTGCACATTTTCTTTCTTAGCAGAGTTGGCAGAGGAGTCCAGGCCCTTACCCTTAACTCCTAGGTTAGGTGGATTTCTGATGTACAGGTAGAGAGGCAGAGGTGACAAAGAACCTACACTCAGACCTCCAGTATAGTCGACGTCCCACCATTACAGTATAAGCTGTTCCCGGGTGGAGAACAGCAACACAGCAGGTACTACATTTGCTGAATACAACAAATCTTTTAAAAAAAGCCACCAGACTTTCAGGAGGAAAAGACTGGCCTTGTTTCATGGAACCAGGATAAGCCACTGAGAAAAACACTTCTTAGCATTTAATGAATCTCCCTCCACGTGGCTTCAGGCTACCAGGACACAGGCCCCCCCGACACCCTTAATCTTCTCCTCGGCTCTTCTACTGAAGAATTTGGCCTTCACGATGACAGGCTGCTTTGGGAGCTTTCCCTTTCCCAAAACTTTGTAGTAGCCCTAGAAGAACAGAGAAAAGGGTTTTTAACACACTATGGCAATTACCAACTCCCTGATGGTACGAGAAAAGACGCCTGCCAACCCACTCCCTCTAGGAGCTGGGGTCTGGGGGGCATGTTTCTGATCTGGGCACTAGTGGGGGCACAGACTGCCCTCGCCAGTGAATCAAGACCAGCAGATTTTCTCCGAGGACTCTAGCACACCAGGACAAGAGCTGTGTCAGGATGTGACTCTAGTCTCGGGCAAAACGTAGCCCCGCCTCCACTCCATTACTATATAATATGCAAAAAAGGAAAACCACATTTGCAGCAACCTTCCAAGAGGTCTTGACCATCAAAATTCTTCAAGGGATGTTAAAGAGGCCGGGAGGGGGGATTTAAAATTTAACTGAAAAGTCCCCTCAGGGTTCAGACTACCTCCACACCCATGGGATATAAGGCTGACACAAGGACCAGAACTCCAAGTGATACACAAAAATGCTTCTTGGGGGGATCTCTTCAGATAATGTAGGGCATTAGATAACAACTGAACATATTAGGATTTTATTCTGTAAGAAACATAAAGGGTCAAGAGCTGCACCTCACATAGGCTTGTGTAAAACAGACCAGAGCCAGGTGAGCTAAGCTAGTACCAAGAGCTCAGACAAGAAATGCAAACCCGTACAAATCAGGGCAATAACAGGAGGAATGAGATTACGAATGGGGAAAACATTCAAATGAAAATGAAGTAACTGAATGAACAAAGGAGTGGGAACGATTACTCTTCAAATGTTTTGCTTGAATCACAACCAGAGAATTACCTGTGGAAATTCTACCAAAAGGTGGAACTGTCTATTAGGTAACTGGGTACAGATGTCAGGTGGGAGACTATGTAGATTAGATTACCCAGAGTTTTGAGGGGGCAAGGACCCATACAAAGGCAAAAAATATGCAATCACTCACCGATCGCACCACATCAATGATAGGAGCAGCTCCAGTCTTGTTTTTGGCAGCATTTACCCGTGTCTGCTCACTGACCAAGGTCCACAGTTTATCAAGGTTGACAGTTGGGCAGAAGCTCTGATTCCTCTTTAAGTGGTAATGCCTCATACCAACTTTCCCAAAGTAACCTGGGTGACTGGGAAAAGAAGGCCACCACTTTCATAACCTCACTGGCATTAAGAAACTATGTTTATCATCATTACAGTCCACGTCCCACCATTACAGTATAAGCTGTTCCCGGGTGGAGAACAGCAACACAGCAGGTACTACATTTGCTGAATACAACAAATCTTTTAAAAGCCACCGAAGACCTTCAGGAGGAAAAGACTGGCCTTATTTCATGGAACCAGGATAAGCCACTGAGAAAGTCAGAGGCAATGCCAAGACTAGAATTCAAGTCGCTTGCCAGCATTTTATGGAAATTCTATTCCTATAGCAGGAGTCTTCTAAGCAAATAGTTAAAATACGATCCCCTAATTTGTGGGCATAAGTGAAATCTAACAGCTGCACAGGTCAGTCTGACACATGTCACTAACCCGGTGACTGACTGTGCCACGAGGGCCACAGCCAGTGAATAAGGTCAGCAGTTACTCTTCGAGGACTCTAGCACACTAAGGCAATAGCTGATACCCAAGCGTGACTCTAGCCTCGACGACAAGTTCTCTCGGTTCACATCAAGGGTTAACTTGGTAAAAGCCAGCAAAAGGCAAGCTCGGTGAGCGGTAAGAGGCTTGCTTCCCATTTAAGACGTTCTGAGCCAGCCCTCTCCCCCTAACTCCAAAGCCGCCGGTGTCAGTAAAAGCACGGTCCAAGGAGCACTCACTATTTGTCAAAGTTGATCCTGTGGTGATGCATGCCGCCAGCATTACCCCGGCCTCCCGGGTGCTTCCGGTGCTTGCCTGCAGGAACACAAAGCTACATGGCTAACACAGCCTTCTCCAGCCCCCCAATATTTCTCACAAAACCGTTTCCCCACACTTCCGTGCCTCTGCTTGTGCCGTGTCAGTTTACAATCCCTCTTTCAGCATCGCGATTGCTCCAAGAGTCCGGGTTAAACCTCTCTTTGCAGCACCACCACAGTACTCCATGCCTTCAACCAATTCAATACTATGCCCCGCTCAATTCTCACACCCCCAAGTGATGTGAAATTCTCTAAAACTGGAGCCCCAGAAAACTCTCAGAGAACAAGCCAACGGCTAACGGTCAAATTCAACCCGACTCGAAAGCACGAAGCTCCTACTAACCCAAATCTAAGCTACCTACTTCCCGACAGGCTGAGACCCGGCAGGGAGAGCCAAGGCCGACCAGGATGGGAAGCCGGCACTTACCGATGCGGCCGTGGCCGTGACTCACGTGGCCCCGAAGTTTCCGGGTCTTCCTCAGTCTGGACGGCTGTGTGAAAAAAGGTGCTTGGTGGTAAGCCCTAAGGAAGGTGGGGCAGGGGGCGAAGCCTGCCAGTCTGCGAAGCGCCTGGAGGCCCGGGGGTCATGGATCTGCCTCGCGGCGCATTCAGCAAAGCCGAGGTTACAGACTGGCCCTCGGCCGTGCGGCCTCATCAGGGCGGCACCCGGGCGCCCCGGTCCGCGTGTCCCAGAGATGCGAACCCCGGGACAACACGCGGCCCCAGACTCCCGGGCCCACGCCGACCGTTCTACTCTGGAAGACCGGGCTAAAGTTGGGAGTAGATGGCTGGAGTGAAAGGCGAGTAGAACTCGCGACCCGCGCCAGCAATGAACCGGAGGCACGGAAAGAGACACTTACCATGTTGGCGGCCGAGACGAAAGAGGGAGGCCTCCACGAAGTCTCGCGAGGTATCGAACACGGGGGCGGAGCCAATCCGTCTCACTTCCGGCCAGGGCGCCCCGGCCTCGGGCGGGGCCTCTTCCGTGTCTCGGGTCTCGCGCGGCTGCGGGCCTTAGCGCTTCCTGTTCCTGCGGGTTGTCTTCGCCGTCAGAGTGAAATCGCGGTGGCGGTGGTGGAAGGGAGGCCTTTTCGGGGTAGCGCACCGTGCGCTCAGGCTCGGAGGCTGAGAGTTGTCGTGGGATCCGGGGCTTGGGGAGCCACGGCGCAGGTCGGTCGGGGCTTTTTCTTGGCGCCTTGGCCCAGGAAGCCGCCTAGACCGCCGGCTCTCAGCTCCTCACCGAACGCCCCAGCCCCAAGCGGTCCCGCGCCCCCGCCTCAGTTGCTGGCGGTCTGCTCGTCCCCGGGGGTAGCGGTTGCTTGCTTGTCCCCCGGCCGCAGTGAGGAGCCATGAGGCAGTTACTCAATGTGCCCCCGCCCCCGCCTTTGAAGTCCTACCCAGATGCCTCCCACCCAGCCGACCCGCGCTCCTGAGCGGCCGCTTGGCCTTCCTTTCTCCCTTGGCTTGTGCTGTCGTCCTGGGCGTCCTCAGTTTGAACTTTATGCCATACTTTTGGGACCTATGCGTCTGGTTGCTTTACGGCCCTTTTTATCCAGACTGTACGTTTTCTAACCGCTACGTTTTGATTTTCACTTTAACTTATTCGGCATTCCCATGACCCCTCCTCTCCTAGACCCAATACAAGTGTCTCCTCTTTTGTGAAACTACTCTAATCCATTCAGTGATCGTTGCTCACTTCCCCGACTTGTGCCTCCACAAAATCTAGCACATAGCTCTTAAATAATTCTTGATCCTCATTTGTCTTCCCTACTGGACCAAATTCCTTAAGGGCTCGAGGATTGTTTTCTTTTATCCATGCCCTCCCATTTCCTGGCATGTAGTACACGTCCAACAGAGGATTGTTAAGTGAATGAATGCACCCACCCTCACTTCACTAATAGTGGAAGAGGCATCCCTCCTGACTTAAGTCCCAACCAGTGTTCGCTGTTTGAACCAGTGTTTAAGATCCCGTTCCCTCAGTTGCTCTGTGCGTGTGTGTATTCGTTTTTTTCTCTTCCTCAGTCCTTTCTATTCCCTAGCTTAAATATATTTTAGCTAAAATGTCCTAAATTCTCCCTCACTGTCTCTATTTACTACCCATTTGCTCACTTCCCATTCATTGTTTAATCCATTGCAATCTAGCTCTCGGTCCCACTGTTTCAATGAAATTGCTCTTACCAAGGTCATCAGTTAACCAAACACCAAACTGAATGGACTCTTCATATTCCTCATACCACTTCTCTCTGTTGTACTTTATCCCTTTGACTTCTTTTTCTAGCGAAACTCTTGCCTTCCTCTTATCTTTCTGGCTACTTCTCGGTCTTCTTTTCAGGTTCTTTTAACTTTGTCTACCATTTAAGTGTTGATGTTCTTCAGCCTCCTCTCCTTGCCCCCTTAACTTTTCACAGTACATAATCCTCTTGGGTGAACTCATCCTGGGTGGCTTCAATTCACATCTCTATTGCTGAGCTCCACGCTCATGTATTTGCTTAATTTCTGGTTAATATCCTTCGCACATTCTACAGACAAACTAGACAAAAATATCCAAAGACTGCAGTCTTCTCTGCTCTTTGGTGCCTTCTCCTTTATTCCATATCTTGGTGAGTGTCACCCTTGTCCACCTAGATAGTGATGTCAGGGAGACCTGAAAATTGTCTCCAAGCCTTCTTTTCCTCTGATATACTGTCACCATATCCTTTTGTTCTCTCTCTCTCTCTCAAATCTACTTCTTTTTACTTTTTAAATTATTTTATTGAGGTCTTATTGGCTTATAACATTGTGTGAATTTCAGGTGTACATTATTATTTATCAATTTCTGTATAGACTATGTCGTCGTCACCACCAATAGTCTAGTTTTATCCATCATCCACTGCCTTCATTAAGGCCCTCATCATATCTCTTATCTCAGGTTCAACACCCTCCAGTGATCACCATGCTTGCATTAGAATGCATGAGGTTAGAACCCCCCTCCAATCCCTCCATCCTTTACATCTCTGCCAGGTTAATCTACCCAAAACGTGACTTTCATCCTTTCACTTGCTTCATCAAAAAGTTCAATACTTCCCTGTTACCAAAGGAATATAGCCCACTTGCTTTTCTGACCTTACCTCAGCTTTTCCCCATGCAAGTTTTCTGTTGCAGCCAAGGGTACCTTCCTTCTGCCTTTTTGCCTGTGCTCATGCCATTTTCTCATGCCTTTTGTGCCCTTCCTCTTGCTAACCAGATATCCTAAATCTTCAACTTTTAAGGCTCATCTTTTATTCTGCTTCTTCCCAGAACACTCCAGTCCACAGTGATAATAGCCAAATACACCTTGCAGTTTATAAAATGCATCTGTTTGAGAAGTCAACACTACCAGCCCCATTTTATGCATGAGAAAATCGAGGCACAAAAATTTGAGTGACTGGCCAGAGGCTACAGTGCTGCAAAGATAGAGAGCCTGGGCCTAGCCTTTAGTTTTCGCTCTCCAGATCCCCTGGTTTTACCTCAGTGACTGTTCTCTCTCTGACCTCACTGCATTGTGGTCTTCATCACTCCTTCAATCCTTAATCACATACTGCCTGTGACCAGATGAAAGAGGGTGCATGAGAGCCGGGGGCAAGGTCTAAGATCATCCTTTATTTGACATCAAAGCTGGCCAATAACTGCACAAAGGATGAGCTGAGCCACCTGGAAGCTACGCTTGGAAAGGTAGTCTGTGAATGAAGGTAAGCCGGGCAGAGCTTTGGGAATGAAAAGTAACCATCAGATGTCCTGGAACTAGGGCCTAGAGCAAGGACCAAGACTGTCCAGGGGGTGGAGGTAAGGTTCTGGATGATGGGACACTGCTCCTGTATAGTTTTGCCAGGTTCTTTGGTTATAGAGCAGCTACATCCTGTCCCCCAGGCCACTTGACTGAACGGGAGGTCTCCCTGAGTGGACCAGCACTCTGTGTTGGGTTCTGTGCTCACCTGACATTCTTCTCATTGGCGGTTTGATCTCCAGGGTAGAGGGAGTGCCTGGGATGTTTCCCTGGCTCTGGTTTCCAGCCAGCTCCCTTTCTTTCACAAGGCAATCATGTAGCTTCAACATAAGGCTCATGTCGGGATTGTTATTGTGAGTCAGTTTCCCTAGGTCGGACAGCTCAGAGAGCAAAAGAAACTGAGTTCTCTATCTGCAAAGTTGAGTAGCAGCCAGACATTAGGCATTAGGGAACCTGTCTCTCCCCATCAGGCACACAGTGCATGACCCTAGATGTGACCCCTGAGAAGCTTCCTTCTCTGTGACATCTTTTCTGAAGTAGAGCATGGCCTCGTGACATCTTAGGCATCTGGGCTGCCCCAGAGAGTCAGGGCCTCAGAAAATACCTGTGAAATGAGCAAGGGAGATGATGCCAGGCAGCTGCCTGGCGAGGCAGGTAAATGTGATGCTGACTTTTTTGGTACCCCAGGCCTCTCTCTAGGTGGCCTTGTGAACACATCACCATTCTGAAGAGGGCCCTGGTGGTCTCTCTCTCTTCCTCTCCTCTCTAGGTTCCTGAGTTCTTCAGCAGTCCTTGAGACAGCAGCAACAGCATGGATGGGTCCAGCCTTATTTTCTTGTTCTCCATCTTTAGATTTGGACATTTGGAAATATTACATTGCTTTCCTTTTTCAAGTAGAGGATTGTTAATTTAAGATGGGGAGAGCCAGTTCTTTGCTGAGTGAGAATTAGAGAAAAACTCAGAAATCCAAATTTATTTCAGAAAGAATTGAAAAATATATATGTAATAGAGAAGACAGTACAACATTAAAGAAAATTTTGAATAAATATAAGTATAAACATTTTAAATCATAACACCTAAAATACTGTTTTTATTTCTGAATATTACCTTTCAGCTCTTGTCTACATGGAGAAATAGCTATCTGCAAAGGTGATGATCATAATATACAAATCCTTTTATATTCTGCTTTTCATTTAATATCATGACATTTTTCTGTATCATTACCCAGTCTTCGTGATTATTATTTTTAACAGCTGAAGAGTAATTTATCTTCAGCATGTGCTATAATTTACTAAGCCATTTTCTCGTGTATTTTGTTTTCATTTTTTGTTGTTCTTATTGTGTTCTTTGCTGTTAGAGACAGCGATGCAATGAACATTTGTGTATATGTAGTTTTTTTCTTCCTTTGTTGAATAACTTGTCTAAGATAAATTCCCAGGAGTGAGATTGCTGGATTATAGGATATGAACATTTTTATGATTCATTTTATGTTGCCATATTTTCTTTTCCAAATGGATGGTACCAATTTATGCAACAGCAGCATGTGTACTTTCCAATTTCAACTACACCGGGCTCGGGGTTCTTTTGCTTTCATTTGTAGTTTTTGATATATGGCAATATGGCATTTAGGGGAAAATCCATAGGACCACAGGGTTTTCTTCAGCACAAAGTAAAAACAATCTAATTCGAGGATTAGGAATTTCTAGGAGTCTTTCCTTTTTGCATTGGATAGATTTTTAAAAAGCTCATTGTGCTACATGGCAAGTGCATTTCTAGAAGCACTTTGTGGGCAGCTAGAATGGAGAATCCTGCTGCCATTAAACTCAGAATAGCAAAATATGAAGAGAGGAATTCTGAGATCTTTGAGGGCAGTTTATCCAAGAGCACAACAAGGAGGGGCTTAAATATTTGGATTTTAATTTAATTTCAGATGATGAAATTAATGGAAAGCACACAGAAGCTTGGGTTCTTTTCCTCCCTCTACTTTTACTAGCTGAATGATATTGAACAAACCGTATTCTCTTTGAATCTTAGTTTTCTTGTCTGTATGCAGTCATGTACCACATAACGACTGCATATATGATGGTGGTCCCATAAGATTAGCACCATATTGCCTGGGTGTGTAACAGGCTGTACCATCTAGGCTTCTGGAAGTACTGTAGGGGAGGAAGAAATTTTCCTCTACCTTCTGGGTTCTTCTGCTGGTCTAAGAATTAAACTGACATGAAATAGATTAACAGGAGAAAAACAAACAAAAGTTTAACAGCATGTAGACCAGGGAAAAACTCAGGAAAACCGAATAACTTGCCAAAATGGCCAACACCCTCACCTGAAATATCATCCTCAGCTATAGACAAAAGAAGATGTTGGGGAGAGGGAGAGTCAGGGACTTCAGAGGAAAGGAAGGCAATTCATAGGTAGGTGAAAAGGAGCAAATGTTTGGAAAACAAGTGCTCGTTTGGCTGCACAGAAGCAGAACACAGAGAGGAGCCCAACAAACAGGCTTTTCTAGGTTCCTCCCCGTCTAGCACCTCGTTCATGTGATGCTAAGGTGACAGCTCATTCCTGAGACAGGTTTTTTTAATCTGAATTCTTTTAGGCAGTGAAGGGGGAGGTAACAAGAAAAACTTTCTGAGTCTTTTGTTTCTTAAAGATAATAAGTCTAAAATAATCCTCATGTTAAAGAGACGCGTTTTGGGGTGGCAAATTTTGTTCCCCTTCAGTACATTCTATGATGATTGCACAATGGTGAAATCGCCTAATGACGCATTTCTCAGAACATATGCCCATTGTTAAGCGACACATGACTGTAATACCAAGATAGTATTTATCCTTTTCACTGGATTGTGATTTGCACTGATGGTGCCAAGGCAAAAGCCAAAGATGGTGTGTAAAACTGCTGGTACAAGTCATTGCACTCTTCACTGCCAGGCGTTTGCAGCAAAAGAAAAGAAAAGAAAAAAGCCAGTTTCACTTAAGAATGTCCATGATCAGGGCTGGCCCAGTGGCGCAGAGGTTAAGTTCACAGGTTCTGATTCAGCCGCCTGGGGTTTGCCAGTTCGGATCCTGGGTGCGGACCTACACGCCACTTGTCAAGCCATGCTGTGGCAGGTGTCCCACGTATAAAGTAGAGGAAGATGGGCACGGATGTTAGCTCAGGGCCAGTCTTCCTCAGCAAAAAGAGGAGGATTGGTGACGGATTTTAGTTCAGGACTAATCTTCCTCAAAAAAAAAGAAAAAAGAATGTCCATGATAAAGCAGTAAATATTTTATTAAATCTCAATCCTTGAATACATCTTTTTAATATTCTATGTGGAGACTTTGGAAGTATGCAAAAATCCCTCTGCTGCTTATCAAAGTGAGGAACTGCCCTGGATCTACTGTTTGCGTTGCAAGCTGAACTAGTGTTTTTTTCAGTAGAACACCAGTTTTACGTGAAAGAGCAACTGACAAACTTCACTGTACTGAAGGGGAACAAAATTTGCCACCCCAAAACGTGTCTCTTTAACATGAGGATTATTTTAGGCTTATTATCTTTAAGAAACAAAAGACTCAGAAAGTTTTTCTTGTTACCTCTCCCATCACTGCCTAAAAGAATTCAGATTCTGGGAATTTGGCAGATATTTTTTTCAAAAATGAAGTGAGCCCATCACTTCAAGGAAAAAACTCACAGTATTTGCTGCCAATGGTAAAATTCAAATTTTCAAGCAAATACTAGAACTCTGGTAAAGTTATAGCTGCTTCCATGAGTTTGACAACTTCCTAATACTTAAAGAATTTTCTCATGAGATTAGAGGTGATATTAAAGAATGTGATTTTTTGTTATTGTATAATGAAACATGTCAATATTTGGAGCATCTGCATAAGTCTTGGAATCATTATTTTCCAAATGACCAATGCTTGGTGTTATCAAATTATGCCTGGGTAAAAGAGCAGTTTAAAGTGGAAGAGAGACCAGAGGATTTTAATGTAACAGAGTAAAAAAAGTCCATTAATGAAGTTTCAGACTTCACATTACCCCTAACCTTTAAGAAACTACCACTTGTTGAATTTTGGTGTAGTATCAAAGAAGAAAATCCACAATTATCTGATAAAGCTATTAAAATACTCCTGTCTTTTCCAACTGTATAGCTGTGTGAGGCTGGATTTTCTTCGTATACTATAAACAAAACAGCATATAACAGATTGACTGCAGAAGGAGACATGGGGATCCAGTTGTCTTCTATTAAGCCAGACCTTAAGAAGGTTTTCAAAAAGGAAAACAGTGTCACTCTTCTCACTAAATTTATTTATTTAAAAATTTTTTTTTCTTCTGGTGAGGAAGATTGTCCCTGAGCTAACATCTGTGCCAATCTTCCTCTATTTTGTATATGGGAAGCTGTCACATCATGGCTTGGTGAGTGGTGTGTAGGTCCGTGCCCAGGATCCAAACCCACGAACCTTGGGCCACCAAAGCAGAGCATGTGAACTTAACCACTACACCACTGGGCCAGCCCTAAATTTATTTTTTTGAAAATAGTTAATCTTTCCTAAAATTATGCTATTTGTATTGACATGTAATGGGTTTATTATTTTTAATGAATTAATATTTTAAAATTATCTGTTTAATTTATAATATGGTAAATAGCAATAGATTATAACTCACGTAAACAAAATTGCTTTGGGGTCCTCAATAATTAAAAAATCTAAAGGAGTTCTGAGACCAAAAAGTTTGATGTTTTCGTAGTCTAATCAGCCACACTTAAAACTTCTAAGAGAGACTGCCCTCACCTCCACCAGGGCTGCTACTATGGCTGCTCTCTGGAAAATAACTGCCCTTAGAGCTCCAGAATGAATTAGAGGTGAAAGTCCATCTGTTACTTTATTTAGTGGCATCTTGCTGGGCCCCCAAGCAGCCTGGCCTCTCCCAGTCCCATCACCCTTCATCCTTAATGGGCTTGGCTCCGAAAGACTGTGGACCAAAGGGAAAGTTCTTTCAAATTTGCATAACTGCATAGCTCCAGGTTTGAATTAAATGATTTTTGTTTTGTTTCTTAAGTAAGTACGAATATAGGGGCAACCCCTGTGGCCTAGTGGTTCAGTTTGACATATTCCACTTTGGCAACCTGGGTTTGTTTCCTCGGTGCGGACCTATACCACTCATCTGTCAGTGGCCATGCTATCATGGCGGCTCATGTACAAAAAGATGTAGATTGGTAACAGATGTTAGCTCAGGGCAAATCTTCCTCAACAACAACAACAACAAAACCAGAAAAACCCTCTCTGGTCATTGCCAGTGACTGTCACAGACAAGTAAAATGTATATTAAAAAATAATAATAAGTATGAATATAGAACTAGGTACACTCCTTTTGCTCATACAATTATAAAACCAAATACAGTTTACAAATTATAAAAAAACAAAACAATCAAATTAAGAATAGTAATTTCATTTCATGTGTTGCTAAATTAAATTGCCACTACAGCTTAAATGTGGTGCTCCGTGTTGCAGCTAAGTTTAGCAAACTTATGCCACAATGATGATGGCCCAGTTTCCCCACCTCCTTCCTCTATTCTAAGTACTGTGAGACCTTCATCGTCATGTGCCGCAGTGTCGTTTAGACTTCATGTGTCAAGAATGCATCATTCACATGTTGAGTCCACCCCTTTCTCTTCTCATTAGCCTGAGACGAAGTAATACTGCTTGGTGGGAACTAGATCCTAAACTCCTATCTGTGACCCTAAAATCTCATCATGGTGGATATGTAGATGAGCCAGAATATTTATACTTTAAAAAACCCATATCAGAATGAAACACTAATTTAAAAAATTATTGGTGAGAACTCGTGAAAATGTGTGTGTGGATCTCAGCTTGAGAAAGTCAACTTAAGAGTGTGGAGTCTGGAATCAAACTGACCTGGATTTGAATTTGCATTTGAATTCTGCGATTTACCTTCTGTGTGCAATTACCCAACCTGTCTGAGCCTTGGTTTCCTCACCCTGTCCCTCATGGTTTTATTTAATTTGTAAAAGTATCATAATCCCCATCTCCAAGGATGGTTGTGAGGACTGAGATAAAGCATATAAAGCACCTGGCATAAATTTGGCTTTTAATAAATTTCCTTCTCCTTTCTGAAAAGAAATCTTGTATCAAGCTTGTCCACTAATAAGGAGAGGCGCAGGTAGATCTGAGACACTTTTGGAGATGAACAAACCCTGTAAGAAACACACAACCTAGCGGACCCCTCCAGGCTTTGTTTTCCACAGCAGAGATGTGGGATTCTCTCTTTGGGCCCAAGTGAGAAGTTGAGGCTGTGCCCTGCTCTGGGGCATGAGCATCCAGTTCTGGGGATGGACATGGCCTGACTTCTGAGGCCTTGGTCTCTGAGTCCTCTCTTGCCTGTCCAGAAACATCCCCCTTCCAAAAGAAATAAATCACTCTGCTTTGTGCTTCGCTTACAGGGAGTGGAGCTTGCTCGCTCTATGCGCTGCTTCACGCCTGAGGATGTCAATGGAAAAGTCTCCATCCTGGGCATGGGCACGGGCACGGATATGGGCGTGAGCTTTATGGGGCTGCCGCTAGTTGACCAGAAACACAGGAGTGGACACATGGAAGCCGTGGTACTGACCTGCTCATTGTGCCGACAGAACCTGCAAGATGTGGGTACCTGGCTCCTCCCCTGCCAGCATTTGCTCTGTAAGGACTGCTTCCAGGGCTTGATCCAGGAGGTAGGGCGGGATGCCAAGGCTCCTGGGACTGTCCCAGATGGTAAGTACAAAAGCACCACAGGTTCACCTCCTTCTACATAACAGGTCTCTTCCTGTTTCATAGGAATTGAATTTCAGGTGTAGAGAGAATCAGAGTTTAAATACCCAAGGGATGCTCATTGCTGAAAGCAACTCTTTGGGGAACCTGTGAGACAAAGCAAATCCTCTTGATGCCTAATATATCTGTTTTCTAAGCTGGGACTTTTCATGTTTGGGATTTCCTTAAATTGATGGCAGACTAAGAAACCTGGGAAGATTTTGATTCAAGGTTCTGCTGACTCCCCAGATGGTGAGGATGCGTCCTGGCTCACTAAACTTCCAAGGCGGGAGAGAGAATGGCTGGGCTCCTGGGGTTGGTCAGGAACAGATTCTGCATGGAATCACACTGACTAGTGAACCATTGACTGTTTAAGCTGCTGCCCGGCAGGGAGGAGCCTGTGTCTTGCTCCTGGATGTCAGGTTTCCTTGGAAACAATCTTATTGAGAACTGTGATGTCCTTGGAGACAGGAACCAGGTCCTTTAGTTTCAGTATTCTAGCACAGGACGTGTAACAAAGGTGCAGTAAATATCTGTTGAATAAACTTGCAGGATGAGAAAGTCAAATAAGTTGGCAGCATTTAGAAATATCTTTTTTGTTTGTTTTTTCTCTGCCGTATGTTCAAAGTGATTTATAGCACAAGGCTGGGCCCTCTTTGAGGCATTATAATGTTGCAGTTAAGAGTGGGCTTTAGATCTGAATTTTGAGCCCTCCAAACCTTTGGGCAAGCCACCCTTACTTCTCTGAATGCCTGTTGAGAGTTTGAAGCACAGAAAAGATCTGGTTTACTTTGATTTTAAAAATTAGTATCTGAATTTTAAACTTGTAACTTAAAGTTAGGCCTCCCTTAAGCTTTTAATTTTGACTTACAAATCTTATTCTACTTATAAAGGTAGCAAATTTTAACAATCACTTTTAAAGGGCCTTTCATTAATATTTGAACAAACAAAATTAATATTTGCCTTTATAAGTTAAATGTATTTTATTTTCTTTTTAAGTAGTACTAGGAAATAAGTCTAGGAAATAAGTGTTCCTAATTCCTTAAAGAACTCTTTGAAGTCCAATAAGTTAAATTTATAAATATGGTGAATCTTAAATATGTCTTAAAAGTTCTAGCACTATTGGGTTAATATCCAGAATATATGAAGAACTACAACTCAACAACAACAACAACAAATTTAAAAAAAAATGGGCAAGGGACTTGAATAGACATTTCTCCAAACAAGATATACCAATGGCCAGTAAGTACATGAAAAGATGCTCAATATCAGTAATTATCAGGGAAATATAAATCAAAACCACAGTGAGATACCACCTCACACCCATTAGGATGGCTACTGTTGAAAGAAAAAAACAGGGGCTGGCCTGGTCATATAGCGGTTAAATTGGCACACTTGGCTTCAGTGGCCCAGGGTTCATGGGTTCGGATCCTGGGCATGGACCTACACACTGCTAATCAAGCCATGCTGTGGTGGCATCCCACACACAAAATAGAGGAAGATTGACATGGATGTTAGCTCAGGGACAATCTTCGTCAAGTAAAAAGAGGAACATTGGCAACAAATGTTAGTTTAGGGCCAATCTTCCTCACCAAAACCAAAAACAAAACCCAAAGTAACACATGTTGGTGAGGATGTGGAAAAATTGAAATCTTTGTTTACTGTTGGTGGGACTATAAAATGGTGCAACCACTCTGGAAAAAAGTATGGTAGTTCCTCAAAAAATTAAAAATAGAATTGCCATGTAATCCAGTAATTCCACTTCTGGGTATTTACCCAAAAGAGTTGAAAGCAGGGACTTGAAGAGAGATTTGTTACACTCATGTTCATAGCAGCATCATTTGCAATAGTCACAAGGTGGAAGCAACACAAGTGACCATCAACAGTGAATGGATAAACAAAATGTAGTATATACATATGATGGAATATTACTCAGCCTTAATAAGGAAGGAAATTCTGATACATGTTACAATGTGGATGAATCTTGAGAGCATTATGCTAAAGGAAATAAGCCAGTCGCAAAAGGACAAATACCCTATGATTTCAGTTACATGAGGTCCCTAGAGTGGTCAAATTCATGGAGACCAAGTAGAATGGTGGTTGCCAGGGGCTGGGGGAACGGGGAACGAGGACTTCTTTTACGTTACAGAATTTCAGTTCTGCCCATTTTTTAATTAGTTTTTTTTGTTGTTAAGTTGTAAGAGTTCTTTATATATTCTGGATACTAGACCCTTATCAGATATATGATTTACAAATATTTTCTCCCATTCCATGAGTTGTCTTCTCTTTCTGTTGATAGTGTCCTTTGATGCACAAAAGTTTCATATTTTTTTTAAAGATTTTTCATTTTTTTCCTTTTTCTCCCAAAGCCCCCCAGTACATAGTTGTATATTCTTCGTTGTGGGTCCTTCTAGTTGTGGCATGTGGGACACTGCCTCAGCGTGGTTTGATGAGCAGTGCCATGTCCACGCCCAGGATTCGAACCAATGAAACACTGGGCCGCCTGCAGCAGAGTGCGCGAACTTAACCACTTGGCCACGGGGCCAGCCCCGAAAGTTTCATATTTTAAGTCCAACTTAGAGATTTTTTCTTCTGTTGCCTGTGCTTTTGGTATCATATCCAAGAAGTCATTGCCAAATCCATTATCATGAAGCTTTCCCCCTAGGTTTTCTTCTAAGAGTTTCATAGTTTTAACTCTTATGTTTAGGTCTTTGATCTCATTTAAGATTTTTTTTGTGAGGAAGATTGGCCCTGAGCTAACATCTGTTGCCAATCTTCCTCTTTCTGCTTAAGGAAGATTGTCACTGAGCTAACATCTGTGCCAATCTTCCTCTATTTTATGTGGGATGCTGCCACAGTGTGACTTGACAAGCAGTGGTAGATCTGCGCCTGGGATGGACCTGTGAACCCTGGGGCTGCTGAAGCAGAGTGCACGAACTTAACCACTACACCACCAGATCAGCCCCATCATTTAAGATTTTTAACATGAACTAATTATGCGTGTTTCAAGTCTTTTTCAACTCTAAAGTCAGGAAACTAAATTCATGCTAATGACAATGATTAGAATCATTGTGTTTGTTGCCAAGTTATTCTAAGTACAATGGAGAATAAAAATGTAAGCTTTGGTGTCAATATATCTGAGCATCTGAGTATGAATCCTGATCTGCCTGTCACTTAATAGTTGTGTAGCTTGGGTAATTTTGCCTGCCTGTAAATGGGGATGATGATAGTAGTAATTAGCTCATGGGATTGTTATGAAGATTAAATGAGAACATATACATAAAACATTCTGTACTATGCCTATGATATAGTAAGAGACCAAGAAATGTGAAAAAATACTATTATTTAGAACCTGTGAAACTTAAGTTGAAAAAAATCTATTAGATATGAACATGCTTGATTTGGAACCAGAAAGGTAATTTCTTGACTATGTGGCATCTTGTATTTTTTGCTATGTCCTATGATCTGGCTAGGCCATTGTTACCTTCCATATTTACATTTATTCATGAAGGGTGGAATAAGCTTCCTCTACTACTTGGAGATTTTAGGACTATGCTGTGAGGTATTTGTTGGTTTGTATGTCTGTCTCCTTCATAGGTATTTATTGACTTCTATGTACCAGGCTCTATGGCATTTAGGCTACAGAGATGAAAAGACAGGGCCCTGCCTTCAGGGAACTCATCCTCTATTGAAGGGTAGATAACTAAATAGATGATATTAATACAATGTGGTAGGGATGTGAGGAGAAGATTGTTTAAAGTTCCTGCAAAGCAGCAGTACATCTGGGAGGTTCTGCATGCACCAGGACTGGTAGATGTCAGTTGCTCACTGAATGTTTTCTGAAGGAATAAAAGAATGGCACCCAAATGATATGTCTGATGAAAAGCAGAGCTATCCCCTATCTCTAGCAAGTCTAGAGAGATATTCAATACCTGAACTTAGATTTCTGGACTGTAATTTGAGAAGCCAAGCTTTGGGAGTCTGGTTCTTTGGAAAGAGCTTTTAACACTGCCACTTTATCCAGCAGAGTAGGAGCACAGACTTGCTAAAAGGCTTATCCTATTTCTGCCAATCTGGGGTTTTCAAAAGTAAAATATGAGAGCAGGTAGAGGGTTGGCAGAGGAGATGGGCAGAAGCTGAAAAATTAATTGGTCCCTAGTATCAATGCTTCCAGCCAGATGGGGCCACATTGCATGGGAAGGAGTCCATTTCCAGAAATCTGTTTCTCCCGGACAGAGCTGAGCAGCTGCTGTGTTGAATGGAAGAGAGGCTGTGCCTGGGCTCATGGTCCATTCAGCTGGTTTTCAACTCTAATCCCTCACTGGAGCCTCCCCAGACCTGCACTCCTGCACTGGGGCTCAGCACTGGGGGAGTGCATGAGGTGGGCATCTTCTCATTCAACTAGACTGTGCCTTTCATCCTACAGCCCTGCAGCCCAACACAGAGCCTGACACAGGATAGCGGGGCTTAAGTGAATATTTATTGAACAAATGATTTAATCAGTGACTCCATGAAGATCTCCCATGGCTCTTGCCTGGAAAGAAGACTTTTTTCACTTGTGACACTGCCCCTTTCCATTCCTCAAGTAGGAGATGCAAAACATGTTAATTAAGCACCTACTGGTTGGCAGACACTGTACTGGGTACTTGTGCCTGTATTATCTTTTCTAAACTTCAAAACAGCCCTATAAGGTAGGTATTATTCCCATTTTACAGATGAAAAACCTGGGGATTGTCATTATGGGAGTTCCAAGGTCTAACAACTACTGTCAGCTTGGGTTAAATTCAAGTTCACCTGTCTTCAAAGCTTGTGATCTGCCCTGTAGCACTTTGCTCAGGGGGAGATTCCATGCTCACCTGGAATCACTGAGCTGATGAAGAGACGCCATGGAGAATCCTCGAGGAAAGAACCAACCCTGCAGCCTGAGCCATCACGTGCAAATCTTTAACTGATGCAGCCACAGC